TTATTAACACCAAGTCACACTGCTAATAAACTGAATTGTTATTTGAGTTTTGTGACGGTCGATTGCATACAGTACAGATTCATAATAACATTACAAAGTACAGAGAATACAAAACATTAGAACAATCTGCTGCAACTCGGAACTTTTTTCTTTTACTCTTTACTAATTACTAAAGTGTCACAACAACCTTGCTGAAACTGTGAAAAGATATGTAAGTTTTGTAGTTTTTTTTCCATGCACAGGCTAGATTTGTCAAAACACAGATTGTTCTTTTAGCACTGCCTTACTTTTCCAAAGAATTAACTATTCCTTTTATTTAAAGGAATAGTTCACCCAAAAATGTAGATGAGTTTGTGTCTTCATCAGAACAGTTTTGGGAAATTTAGCACTTGTTCACCAATGGATCCTCCGCAGTGAATGGGTGCAGTCAGAATGAGAGTTCAAACAGCTGATAAAAACATTACAATAATCCACAAGTAATCCACATGACTCCAATCCAACAATTAACAGCTTGTGAAAAGATGTGTCTTTCTAACTTCAAAGCATTGGCTAAAATACAGTTTCTCTAACCATGATATTCGCTTTCTCCAGTGAAAAAGTTGTTGTCTTGTCTGAATCTGGAGAGGAATATGCCCAAATCAAGCACCATTTACAGGCCAAAACAGTTTAAAATGCCTTAATTATGGATTTGTTTCTTACAAACATGCAGTCTTTAACTTCACTAGACGTTAATTGATGGACTGAAGTGGTGTTGATTACTTGTGGATTACTGTGATGTTTTTATCAGCTGTTTGGACTCTTATTCTGATGGCACCCATTCACTGCAGAGGATCCATTGGTTTGGAAGTGATGAAGAAACAAATTCATTTACATCTTCGATGGTCTGAGAATGAGTGAATAGTCAGCAAATTAGCAAAAAACAACTCTGCTGGCTAAACTACTACAGCTCGTGTAGAGCCTTGATGTCATTCTTTAAATAGAAACACTTTGGGATCTTGTCTCGAATGCTTCAATATAGCTCCATGGTAACAAATTATAAAATTTAAATTCATCACACTGGCCACATGCAACAAGCTTAATGAGTTTTTACACATGCCATTTCCACCTGACAATCATCCAATTATAAGAGCTCTAGGGCTCAGAGTGATGGCTCAATTGTGGGTCAGCAGGTGTCACAACTGGGTATGCGTAAAAATGATCACCACTAGTTAATACTGATGTGCCTATTTTGGTATATTCATTAATTGGTGCTCATAGAGAATCAAATATCTTGCCAAATATATTGCCAAGAATATTTTTTCTCCCTTAGTATCTAAAATGCATCCTGCCTCTTTGCACCTATACACAAACTTATTTTCCTTCAGCCAGCATGGCTGCAGTCAGTTTGACATATTTTCTGTAAAGTCTGAGATTGCGTAAAAACCTGGCATATCCATGCCTGTCCACCCACTTAGTGCACAGTTCGGCTTAATCTTCCTGAAACACCCACAATCCCATGCTCCTGTTCTAGCACCTCAACTCCCACAGCTCTCAGAAGCGTGCAGAATATTCGAGTATTCCCTCATGCTCCGCTCCAAATTCTTGGCTGCCGCAATCCTTATCTTAATATGCAAACAAAAGAAAAACCAGATTATTTCAAGTGACTTACAATAATCCTTCTACTTTCATAATTAAAGACTCAAAAACGTAATACTGATGTGCCTATTTTGGTATATTCATTAATTGGTGCTCATAGAGAATCAAATATCTTGCCAAATATATTGCCAAGAATATTTTTTCTCCCTTAGTATCTAATAATATCTATATAATATAATAATATAATATTATATAATTTAAATTTATATTACATTATATAATATTTTTTCATTTTAATATTTATAATGAAATATATGTGAACTTTTCATCAGCAGCAAATGGTTGTTTGCTCCATACGTGCCATTGGAGTTGCTAAACACTAGGGGGCGCTCATGAGAAGTGTGAGATTAACCCCATGATCCAGCATCATGACTTTCTACATGTACAACACAACACAAACCCACAAATGACAAAAAAAAATTATATAT